ATGTAACGACGATAATATYATAATACACAACGATAACAATAATTATGTCGTGTATTATATCGAGAAAGTCACTGGTGGTGGGGACGTAGTCGTTTGCAAAGCAGAAAACGAGTTCAACGAGAATATAGTAGCTGGCGGCGGAAAAAGCCGTCGCGGAAAAGCGGAGACCACGCGATTTATTATTATTATTCGCGCCTCGTYTCACCCGTCTACCCGCCAACCCGACGGTTGGTCGTCTGCCGCCGAGAGCCGCCGGTGATGCGCAAAACACCCTCCCCGACTAACCAACGGGATACAGCGGCGGTATAACGGGATGAGATTGCAAACTATACACGCTTGACGTGTACGCTATACACACACACACACACACACATATTCAGCCTCACTGCAGATAAAAAGGCATCGGCGGAGGGGGTAGTACGACCAGATGGCTGACGGAGGAGAGGACAGTTTCTGCTCTCGTCGGGAGGGCAGAGAGGCAACCGCCGCTATTATCACCCCTCGCATCGTCGAGCGAGCTGGTGGCACRGCGCTTAAATACCACCGCCGTCGCTCACCCGGCCAAACGCCCTCATCCTACCCATCTTCACCACTGGCCCACAACCAACCCCCACGCATTCATTTCAGATCAGCCGGGCAAAAAATGTACGTACACAGAAACGGTGGCGACAATTGTTGTTATCGTTGTGTGCGGCGGAACAGACAGAGGTGCAGGAAACAACGAACACAGTGAAGGGAGGGAATAGGGCTGCAACAGCGCGCGGGCCACACCCTCGCCGTAACTAAAACACCACTCCGGCGTCACGCTGAGTGGCGAGAGGCCACGAGAAGGCTCGCTCGCAGGCTGCCAGCTCCGCGGCGATGGAGGCGGTCGACCGACTGGCCCGGGGGCCCGGGCTCAGGCCGCAGCCGAATAGCCGCCGCTGCAGCCCCGCGCACCGCGCCACTACAGCCGGCCGAACGGGTCCCGGGGATATTCTAGGCGGCACGAGTGCCGCGGCCGCTGCGCAGACGCTACTGAACGACAACGCTCCTCCTAATACACGCTGACAGTATTTTACACAGCGGCGGCAGTACGCTGCACCAGTTACACCCACCCCCCGTCCACCCGCGCATAACGCTAGCAAGCTGGTTAGCGTACCGCCACCGCCGCCGAGCTGCTGCTGCTTGGCTGCTGCTGCCAGAGGTCCCGCCGTCGTCCGTTCAGTCCGCGGCCGGCCGTCGCGACGACAGTGCACATTAAAATAATAGTCGAAGTTTAGATAATAATATATGTGTAAGCACTATATTATGGTGAGCACTCGGTCTATAATAAACTTTTACAGTAATAAAATGCGCACGCTARCTTAAGACGAAACGTCGTCCATTCAATTGTTTCGTTTTTTTTTCGCATATGCACAATCCCGTGATGATGGAACACCGCCACTAAATGCGTACGAGGGGGCAACACAGAGGTTAATCCATCGAATCTGCATTATAATGGTCTGAATATTGTTGTAATCGTCGTAATGTCCGTATTATACAATATAATAATTATATTACTTATAAGTCGTACCTATAAGTAGTTTTAAGTATGAAATGTGTCGAAAACTTGGTGATGGTTTATTACTAAAAATATGTACATCGTTGATATAGAGTGTCTTTTGCATTATAATACGTAAATAAATTGTTGGCACGGATATTACGACGACAGTAATAGTATAGTTAGTAGGTAGCTATATTGTTATATAAATAGATCGCTTATGACGACAACAACGGTGGTTATTACTTAGGACTTAAATGATTGTACTTTTTTCATTTTCATGATAATATTATTATACGTGCATCTACATCATTATTATTAATATTATTATTATTGCTTTAATGGTCATTACATTATGTCCATTTTAATTAGTTAGGTACATTAGAAACACGTTCGTCATTAAAGAGGTACATTTGCAGCATCTTTATGGAAGTAATCGTTGTCAACATCGAGATACCAAACTGCTACTACTACTTCTAAGAAACGCGTGTAGCTGTAGCTGGTTGGATCTGGGCCAAATACACATTTATTAATTGAATTGTGTGCAGTAGCGGCAGCATGCAAAGATAAATAATAAGTTTTTATAAGAATCACTCCGTTCTCGGTCATCCTGTGACCCTCACACATGATTTTCTGGGGTTATGATTATGATGCTGTTGCCGTTACTTCCACAATCACATTTGGTCCCCTTCAACCAGCTGTAGCCAGCACGCGAAAAACTACAATTTCTATCAAAAATCATCTCTCATCAAATAACGTGCATTGGTTATTTAAGGTTAAGTCAAATTTTTGTATTGTAATTCTAACCCTTTAATTTAATATGTTATGTACTTTTTAAAAATATATAAATTAACGAATATTAGATACTTTGATTATATTTAATAGTAAAAACATGTAATATTTTATAAAAAYAATTCTATGTACCAACATTTAATTTTAATGTATTGTAATTTATATCATTATATCAATCACGGTTATATGTATTTTTGGATTATAGAATATAGATATGTATGAAATATTGTTGTACCACCACTAATATATACACATATAGTAGTATTTAGTGGTAGTTTTTTATGAATATACAATCTTTTTGAATGCACAAAACGGAGCTAACATTAAACTTTATCTTGACGCGCGCTGTAGCTAGGATTCACGCAAATCTAACTCGGACACGTTAAATAACCTGCAGTATTATTTATTCTCAGGCGCTACAAAATCCCGTGACTTGATAGAAAAGATAAAAAATAATAGTTACATTTTTGTATCGTCGCGCACCACTCATAAAAATTACTTTTTTTTTCATTTCAAACTTGACTAGCATTCTAAACCAATAGTAATAATAAGCAATATGCGCAAATACGTGTTCATAAGTCGTAGCTAAAGTAAAAAACTTTAGTCGTATAAGGACCATAATAATAGTTTTAAATGACGTCATGAAACGGAAACATATTTAACAACTTAATATATGCGTTAAACTCTCGGCATACTGCGGTGTTAAATAGAAATTTTCGAAACTTCAAACATTAAATGCGTAAAAATCAATTTTTCATGAGTTCGCGTAGGCTCRTAGTCGCTGCGATCACGGCTGTTACCTATCAGTCGCCGCCAACGGTGCATCCAGAACGTAATCCATCTTGATGCGGCAATTACTCGTATAATCATTTCGTGTAAAAACATTCAGCTGATCGACTACTTCAAAAGGGAGTGATTGGAGTCGGCRCTTCCGTCCGTTACTGTAACAATCAGCATGCAATATCCAAGAGTCTTTTATACAGTTTTGTCTCGTTTCTTCACCACCGCTGGTCCTTGGTCCTCACTCCCACTATCCCAACCCTAACAATCCCGCAGTGATGAAGCACGATCGCATTGTATGTGCACCATGCCACCGTCAGCAAAAGCAAAACACACACGACTAACATATAATATCACGAGTCACGGCAACTAGGTATTTTACAATCCAGCACATTTAAATTGGCTTCCTAAAGTTTTATTTTCAAAAATATATCGGTTACCAAAATTTTGTTTATAATTTGAAGTAAGACGTTATTTTCTAGAATAGTTGACGTCAGCTACACTTAAGATAACCAAATAAATTTAGCATAATTCTTAATTTTAACACATGGTTTACGATATCGTATTCGTATATTTTACTTCATTACATTGAAAGTTATAAATCTATTTTAGGTTATTTAGTAAATATGATATAAAGATTTCACAAGAAAAGAGAAATAATAACACAACAATAATTTAAAAATTAAAACACAAAAGATATTATAATATCTGAGCACATCGTTATGAAATATATATAATATAAATTAAAAATTAAAACACGGACAATATAAACTCTGTGCTTCGTTTTTATTTTTCATTAGTTAGTAAAATAAATTAGTATAATCCACTATTTTTCGAGGTCTATACTTATTAGCTAATATATAGATCATAATATAACATAATAGATCAATGATAATCTATTATTGTAGTAGACTACGACGGTTAAAACGATAAGACTAAATTCAATATAATATATATTTATGTATATAATAGTATAGGTATATCAAGCGTTAGACTATATTTGAGTGCAAATTKCCAGGCTAGGTTAGGTTGAAGTTTTAAAAATAAACACATAATATGAGAACCCCTTGTTAAATAATAATAGTTTACAATTTCAGGAGCCAATTCAAGGGTCGACTTCAAATTTATCCAAAATTGGAAGCCAATTCAATAGTGGTCTTACAATCTATAATCTGTCACAGTCAAACTGTAATTGTTTATATGCTCTTCCTACCATCTTATTCACTCCTAATCCTATTCATATATAATATATACTCATCAAACGTATACCAAAATTAGTTGGTGAGGGGATGCTTAATAGTAAGTATAATATACTTATGATACTAGTGTAATTTAAAATTAATACTAAKTAATTATTTAAATCATAATTTACCTGTTTTATATATAATTTACAATGCTAATAATAATAATTAAAAAAAAACCATTATTTTGAAATGTTYGAACAGCATAATATTTTGTTCATTACCTTAAGTCTGAATAGTAGACATTATGCATAGTAAAAATGACCAATTTATAGTAAATATTTTATCAACAACTTTAAAAGCAATCAATATTTTTTGTTAGTATGATAAATTTAATTTTCAAATTAAAAACATGTAATCATTTTTCTACATTTAAACTTTTAATTTATAAGCTTGCGTTTAACCTGAATATTATGCACTAAAATATCCTTCATTTCTAAAAATTATCAGACTACATTGCATTAATTAAATAAGAACTACCTGGTACTATACAGGAATTTAACTACTGCCATATTGCAAAATGTACAGAATTCATAGGTAAACATAAATTAAATTCAGTTTTTTAGGCTTTTACTCATCCTAATCTAAATTCTTACTATAGTAGTTAACAGTATATGTTTAGATAAGTAGGAGATGTATATTAAAATTTAGTATTTATCACTCACCCAGGATTGCCACGTAGTGCTGCRTGCTGCAGTGGATTGAAACCATTAGTATTAACCACCATAAGATCAGCGGGTGGTGATCCAATAGCTGGAAATCCTGGTTCTGTATCAGGAGTTGTGACACCACTTTCACTTGTTTCTGTAGATTTTGAAGGTTCCTCAGAGGAAGAACATGCTGTGGCAGCAGAACAACCAGCAACACTATTTTCTTGACCACTCATTATTGACAATGTACTTTTTTCATTTTCCACTTTGGTTGTAACAGTATTTGCAACATTGTTATCTTTAGGTGCTAAAGAAGCATTGACAACTATACTGGACGTTGCTGTGTTTGAACTATTCATCAAGGTAGAACTCGTCATAGCCTGACCTGTAGTCGCTGATTTAGAAAATGAGCGGTCATAGGCACGTTCACATCCATTCAAAACACTGGCAGCCACAGCACTTGAAGGTACATTACTAGTGACAATGCTTCCACTTCCTCCTTCCAACAACATAGCTACAAGGTCATCGCGTCTCCGAGATATGGCATCGTGTAGTGGTGCGTCACCCTCGTTATCCTTTTAGCAAAACAGTTATAAACACTATTCATTAAAATATTATATTGTTATCTTGATTTAAACCTAATATACAATAATGATTTATAATTTTTCCATTATTATATATATATATACAATAAAAAGGATGGTACAACAAGATTTATGGTCTGTTCTTAATGGCCAACACAACATCAAGAATATTTTCTATATTTACATGGAACTTAGGTAATTATTTATGCTAAATTGTATACTGACAAATTTTAGAAAAAGAAGTATATAGTTGTCATACAATGAAATGGAAATGTATCACCTGAGAAAAATTTTTTTTAATAAATTGGGCTTAACAAATAAATACCAGGGCAAAAGGTAAATTGTATTT